GTCATAACAAAGTATAATCTTGGTGGTTTAAACAACAAAAATGTGTTTTTTCACAGATTGGGAAGTTAGAGGCCCAAGATTAAGATTTGAGCAGGGTTGTTTTCTTCTGAGGCCTTTCTCCTTGACATGTAGGTGACCATGTAGATGGCTCTCTTCTCCCTGTGTTTTCATACAACTTTCCTTCTCTGTGTGTGTGTGTGTCCTATCTAATCTCCTCTTACAAGCGCACTAGTCATATGGATTAGGGCTCTGTCTCCAAATGCAGTCATATTCTGAGGTTTTGGAGGTTAGGACTTCAACATATGAATTTGTGAGGGGACACAATTCAGTCCATCACAGCTACTAAGAGGCTCTGTTTTGGGGGTGCCTGGGTGGCTCAGTTGTTGTGTCTCCTTTCAGCCCAGGTCATGATCCCAGGGTCCTGGGATCGAGTCCCACATTGGGCTCTCTCCTCGGCGGGAAGCCTGCTTGCCTCCCTCCTACTCCCTCTGCTTGTGTTTCCTCTCTCGCTGTGTCTCTGACAAATAAATAAATAAAAATCTTAAAAAGAAAAAAAGAGGCTCTGTTTTGACTTTGTTAAGTGACAGTGATTTATAGGAAGTGAAGCTGAAGTGTGTAAGGTTTAATGTGAAGACTGGTCACTGTATTGTGAGGAGGTTTGCTTTTATTTTATTTTAAGGCTGGATCTTGATGTAAAATATAATTGTAATTTTTCCCCCTCTCTTTTTCTTCATGCTGGACCTTTATTTTTAGAACACAAGCAGTACTTGACCATTCATGAAAAGTTAAAAGTTCGTTTTTTTTTTTTAGAATACAAATTTGTAAATGGAAAGGTATCTTTTCCCATTCTCTATAAGGTCTTAAGTGAAGGAGTAATATTTTTCTTTAGCTTTAACATGTGAATCACTCAAGAGTGTTAGTAATATCATAGTGATTATTTTATATTTGACTTTAGTTATTCTCCTCCTTAGAAGGTGAATCCTGGATTTGGCTCTTGGTTAATGCTTTGTGTCCACGTCCCTGTTATCCATCTTCAGCACCGTCAACTTTGTTAATATTTCACCTACCTCAACTTAACTGACTGAGCTACCCAGGCACCCCATATCTGGCTTTTTTCACTTAATATAATGTATTTAAGCAGTTCTTTTTTTTTTTTTTTTTAAAGATTTTATCTACTTACTTTAGAGAGAGAGGGAGACGGAGGGGGTAGAGGGAGAGGGAGAAAATCTCAGGCTGACTCCCCACCGAGCCTGGAGCCCGATGCAGGGCTCAATCTCACAACCCTGAGTTGAAACCAAGAGTGGACACTAAACTGAGTGAGCCACACAGGTGCCCCCTTAACATAATGTATTTAAGATTTATCCATGTTGTAGCATGTATCAATGTTATACTCCTTTTTTTTTTTTTTTTTTTTTGCTAAATAAATTTTTTTTTTAAAGATTTTATTTATTTGAAAATGAGAGACAGAGATATCAAGAGAGATCCTGAGTGGGGAGGAGAGGGAGAAGCAGGCTCCCCACTGAGCAAGGAGCCTGATGTGGGACTTGATCCCAGGACTGTGGGAATCATGACCTGAGCTGAAGTCAGAAGCTTAACTGACTGAGCCACCTAGGTGTCCCTGGCTGAATAATTTTTTTTTAAAATTCTATTTATTTATTTGACAGAGATAGAGATCATAAGTAGGCAGAGACAGGCAGAGAGAGGCTTTACCCACTGAGCCACACAGGCGCCCTCTGGCTGAATAGTTTTTAAGCCTCTTTTGTTACGTGTAACTATGTGGTTTTTTTGTTTTGTTTTGTTTTTTGTTTTTTAAGTAGGCTCCATGCTCAACGTGGGCCTTGAACTCAAGACCCTGAGATCATGAGTCAGATTCTCTACTGACTAACCCCTTAAGTAAAAAAACTTAATTCTCATTTGATATCAGTAATGTTAGAAAGTAGATTACTAGGATGATTTTATTCTAATAAAGTTAGAAATTTGATGGTTGTAAAGGGAAAAAAATAATTTTAGGATATACTTTTCAAAGCTGTGTCTTTTTATTTATCTATTTTTAAAAATTTTATTAAAAATTTTTTTTAAGATTTTGTTTATTTATTCGTCAGAGATCACAAGTAGGCAGAGTGGCAGGCAGAGAGAGAGAGGGGGAAACAGGCTCCCCGCTGAGCAAAGAGCCAATGCGGGGCTCGATCCCAGGACCCTGGGATCATGACCTGAGCCAAAGGCAGAGGCTTAACCCTCTGAGCCACCCAGGTGCCCCTAAAAATTTTATTTAAGTAATTTGTACACCTCAACCATGGGGCTCTAACTCATGACCCTGAGATCAAGAGTCGGATGTTCTTTGACTGAGCCAGCCAGGAGCCCCAAAGCTGCATCCTTTTGGAATTACTGGCCTAGATATCTGAATTGAAGCCATTTGTTGAAATCTGGATGCTGAAACTTAGTTGGATTCATGGGATAGCTGAGTAAACAGACACCTTATTATTATTCTTCACCAACATTATGAGGCAAATGCTGAGTGCAGTTTGTACATTCTAATTTAATTCACACATAGCCCTAAAAGAAAGAAAGAATGCTTATCTCATTATAAATTAACATTTATGTGAAACCTTCTGGGATTGTTCCAGAGTAGTGGAAATAATATGTATTAAATGTATATTTTATCACACGACTTAATTTTGTTGTTTATTTCTCCTGTCTCCCCCCCCCACCCCCAATCCTATTATCATTATTAAATGGTTTCAGGAGAGACTAAAGTGACAGGATGAATGTAGTTAGTAGTACTAAGAATATATTCATCAAAGGAAATCATAAATTTTGTTCAGGTCCTTATTTAGTGTCTTGAATGAGGAAAGGCAAATATAAGACTATAGAAAAATAATGCAGAGTACAATCTCTCCTGCTGTCAAAACAAAAACAATTGCGGAAATTGCTTTTAACAAACACCATTTATGTGCTTTTTATCATCTGATTTTTATTTTTATTTATTTTTATTTTTTATTTTTCAAAGATTTTGTTTATTTGACAGAGGGAGACAGAGAGAGGGCATACAAACAGGGGGAGTGAGTGGGGAAGGAGCAGGTTCCCCACTGAGCAGGGAGCTCAATGCAGGGCTCCATGCCAGGACCCTGGGATCATGACCTGAGTCGAAGGCATACGCTTAACAACTGAGCCACCCAGGTGCCCCATAAGTCCGACTTTTTTTTTTTTTTTTTAAAGATTTTATTTATTTATTTGACAGAGATCACAAGTAGACAGAGAGGCAGGCAGAGAGAGAGAGAGAGGGAAGCAGGCTCCCCGCTGAGCAGAGAGCCCTACGCGGGACTCGATCCCAGGACCCTGAGATCATGACCCGAGCCGAAGGCAGCGGCCTAACCCACTGAGCCACCCAGGCGCCCCCCCCTTTTTTTTTTTTTTTAAATTTTATTTATTTATTTGAGAGAGAATGAGTGAGAGAGACCATGAGAGAGGAGAAGGTCAGAGGGAGAAGCAGACTCCCCAAGGAGCTGGGAGCCCGATGCGGGACTCAATCCCAGAAGTCTGGGATCAAGCCCCAAATCGGGCTCCTGCTCAGCAGGAAGCCTGCTTCTCCCTCTCCCACTCCCTGCTTGTGTTTCCTCTCTCGCTGGGTCTCTCTCTGTCAAATAAACAAAATCTTTTAAAAAAATGTGGTTTTCTGTCATGCATTTTTGTGTTATTGGAATATAAATTTAATTAGAGTTGAAAAATTGTAAGCTTTTGATATTTTTTCTGTTACGATTGTAGCTTAATGTTGCCTGTATAAATATATAAATATACATACTGAAAAATATGGTTCTGTGGTAATTTGATCCTGAAATTATATCTGTATACTTCTTAAAAATTTTTTTCTTCTTTTTAAAGATTTTGTTTGGAGAGCGGGAGTGTCAGTGGGAGAGGGGGCAGAGGGAGGGAGACAATCTCAAGTGGACTCTGTGCTGAGCACAGAGCCAGATGCATGGCTCCATCTCATGACCTTGAGATATATGACCTGAGCCGAAATAAAGAGTGGGATGCTTAACTGATTGTACCACCCAGGCACCCCTGGATATACATACTTCTAGCATTCATATGAAGTAGGATAGTTTATTCCTTTTTCTGCCCTATTCCTAGGAAAGTTAAATTAAAGGACAAAAAAGTCAGATTTAAAATTTTTGTAGCGACTCTTGCATAAATGAAATGAGATCTAAAACTAAGCTTAAAATTAGTTTTACCATTAAACATCTAATGAAAACTTCATTTAAAAAATGTGAAGAGGGGACGCCTGGGTGGCTCAGTTGGTTGGGCGGCTGCCTTCGGCTCAGGTCATGGTCCCAGCGTCCTGGGATCGAGTCCCGCATCGGGCTCCTTGCTTGGGAGGGAGCCTGCTTCTCTCTTTGCCTCTGCCTGCCTCTCTGTCTGCCTGTGCTCGCTCACTCTCTCTCCCTCTGTCTCTGACAAATAAATAAAATCTTTTTAAAAAAAAGTGTGAAGAGGTTTCAGTGATTCTGCCCTACCCCCTCAACACACAGAGTACATAGCACATTCACCCCATGTTATAAATTGTGTTTTTTCCCTCTACCAGGCTGAATTTTACCAAAATCTCATTAGCACTTATTTTGTGAATTGGCCTTTATCAAATGTCTAACTGGTCTCTACCATTAAATCTAATAGTTTGGGATGCCTGGGTGGCTCAGTCAGTTAAGTGTTGACTCAGGTCATGATCCTGGTGTCCTGGGGTCCAGTCCCGCATCAGGCTCCTTGCCCGGCAGGGAGCTTGTTTCTTCTGCCTGTTGTTCGCTCTGCTTCTGTGCTCTCTCTCTCTCTGACAAATAAATAAAATCTTAAAAAAATAATAGTTCATTTTGTAAATATGTAGACTAAAAGCTGGAAATGATACTTACTAGAAAATGGAAGAGAAGTATAAAAAATGTTCATTTTAAAATATTTTCAAGTAATGTTGCAGTGCTGATACTTGTAGTGAAAGTACGTTTTCCTTACTCTAGACTCCTAGAACGAATACATCACCATGGCTACAGAAATTGGTTCTCCTCCTCGTTTTTTCCATATGCCAAGGTTCCAACACCAAGCACCTCGACAACTATTTTATAAGCGACCTGATTTTGCGCAGCAGCAAGCAATGCAACAGCTCACCTTTGATGGAAAACGGATGAGAAAAGCAGTAAACCGAAAAACCATAGACTATAATCCGTCTGTAATTAAGTATTTGGAGGTAAGTCCAGTTAATGTGCTTCTGATGACCAGACTTTAGCTTTTTCAGAAGAAGAAAGTTTTTAGAATGCAGGGTAATAAGTATAACTGTGTTTCTTGAATTAGTGGGGTGAAGTGGAATTTCAAATGAGGCCAGTCACTAGTACTTTGTTTACTTTCTGCATGTATGAATCATCTTCTCAAAAATTATAAAATTTAAGCTCTGATTTACAGTTTAAACTTTTATTTTTTTAAGACATTTATTTATTTATTTATTTGTCAGAAAGAGAGAGCGCGCGCGCGAGAGAGTGAGTGAGTGCGCGCATGAAAGCACAAGAGCCACAAGCAGGGGAATACCAGGCAGAGGGAGAAGGCTCCCCATGGAGCAAGGAGCCAGAAATGGGACTTGATCCCAGGACCCTGGGATCATGACCTGAGCAAAGGCAGAAGCTTTACCAGCTGAGCCACCCAGGCATCCCATAGTTTAAACTTCTAGAGCAAAGTTCATAGCAGATCTCAGAAAATGGTACTTTAATCCCAAGGCCAGCCTTAAAACACTTGTTAAACTCACAGGATATTTGAAATGTTAAGAGACTACCAACATAGGACCGTTTCTGTGAGAACACATGTTCAGAATAGCAGTTTTGTGTGTCCAAGACACTGGCTGAAGGAACACTGATTTTCCAAGCTCCTAGTGGTGGATCACTCTGTCAGAGAAAAGGGCTCCACTTCCTTGACATTCAAGCATTTTAGGGGAGAGCAACCCTGACATGGCAACTAACGGCCAAGTAGGCATCTGTCTAAATCTCTGCTTGATATTTCTCCCTTTTGAGTTCTTTGTTTACTTGTCTTCACCTAGGAATTAGCCTCTGCAATTTGCTTTCATTACTAACGCTATTACTTTAATCAGGTTTTGATCTGCTCTGGCCTGCTATGAAGAAAATTTGTTTGCTTTTTCTTACCTGAGACTGTTGTTAAAGACCTGTTTGCATATTGGATAATTAGTATGTTGCAAACAACATAAGAGAAAAATATTCAGAGATGAAGACAAACTTAGGTTTTTCCAGGTAATTCAGGTGGAAAACTAATCTAGGAGAGGTTGAGAGGAATTAAGAAAACCAAAGGCAGGATACCAGGAATTGTTTCGTACTGAGGACTTTTTATTTATTTATTTTTTTCCCTGAGATTTTATTTCTTGATTTGACAGAGAGAGACACAGCGAGAGAGGGAACACAAGCAGGGGGAGTGAGAGAGAGAGAAGCATGCTTCCTGCTGAGTAGGGAGCCTGATGTGGGGCTCGATCCCAGGACCCTGGGATCATGACCTGAGCCAAAGGCAGACGCTTAACGACTGAGCCACCCAGGCACCCATGTGCTGAGGATTTTGAAGGAATTGGGAGACGTGTGCCTATCACTTATCCTTTTTCTTTTTATCAGAGCATGGTCAGTGAGAATGTGTTGGGGTCAGCAGTATCTTGGGTGATTGGTTGGGGATAAGGTGAGTAAAGAGAGAAATTCTAAATAATGTCAGTAGGATATGGTCTTTTTAAGATACCCACTGTTACCTTTGTTTTAGAACATAATGAAAAAGTTTTAATCCTGTTTTCTCCCCATTTGATAGTAGCTTACATTTTATTAATATTTACTTTAGTTTCCAAACAGAGTATAATTAGACCACATTAATTAATTTGTTTATTTTTAAACAGAATAGAATATGGCAAAGAGACCAGAGAGATATGCGGGCAATTCAGCCTGATGCAGGTTATTATAATGATGTAAGTATTAAGATATGTTATACTAGCTTAAGTTTGCTTGGACATTTGAATGTAAACGTCTTTGCTTGGATATTTGAATGTAAAACTGTGTGATCTCAAATGCAGACGTGGACGTTTCTTTTTCTTTCTTTCTTTTTTTTTAAAACATTTTATTTATTTATTTGACAGACAGAGATCACAAGTAGGCAGAGAGGCAGACGGGGTGGGGGAAAAGCAGGCTCCCTGACGAGCAGAGAGCCCGATGCAGGGCTCGATCCCAGGACCCTGAGATCATGACCCGAGCCGAAGGCAGAGGCTTTAACCCACTGAGCCACCCAGGCGCCCCTCTTTATATACATTTTTATAATTAAAACAAAACATTCCTAAAGAGAGAAAATAACATCTCTGTACTCCATGGGTTGTTATTATTTTTTTAATCTCAGAATTTTTCTTTTACTTTAATGGTGTAAGAACTTTTGATTTGGGGCTTAAAGAAATGTCCAACAGAAGATTGCACTGCCTCAGAGTCTGGAATAGGAAAGTTAATTTTAAATTTGGTTCATCGTGAACATGTTGTATTGTGTTGACCTTGAGAAGTAATTGGAGATATTGCATATTTGATTTTGTTGTTTGTTTAGTAATAATGGACATTTAACTGTCCTGCATCTCAGTTTTCTTCATTTAATTAATACAGACTGATTATAATCTATAATAATAGTTTTTTCAAAGTCATGTGTAGTCCTGAATTTGTCTTTAAATGTTGAAATAACTATCTTGTTCTTTCTCTGGTTTATGTCCTGTGTGTAGTCAGAAGCTCTTCAAATCCAATTTTCTCTTTTTGTAGCTGGTCCCACCTATAGGGATGTTGAATAATCCTATGAATGCAGTAACAACAAAATTTGTTCGAACATCAACAAATAAAGTAAAGTGTCCGGTATTTGTTGTTAGGGTAAGTATTCTGTTGGATATTTTTTTGAAAAATTAATCCTGAGTTAGTCTATACATATTTAACAGGACAAAATTAAATTATTTTAAGTTTATATCTGGGATAAAAATTGGTATGTTTGCTAATAATTTTATTTTGGAATACCCCACCATTTATCCGTTACATTCACATTTAGTAAGGTATTGATTTTTGGATTGTTCTTCATGATGCAATTTCCATAGAATTCTCTGAGCAGGCCATGGATCTATATTGTAGTAGGGCTCAGGCTCACTTTTGAATAGTAGGGTGGCTTTTGCTGCTGTTCGGAAAGCAGTATCTCAAAGTTAATGAAAACTGTTTGGTGTCACTAATAAGGAAAACACCTGAAAAGACCTAAGGCCAGTGGTTGACCATACTTTTTTTAGCTTCATAAAGGTACATAGTAGGTACTCAATACATTAGCATGAAAAAAAAATTTTTTTTAAAAAAGATTTTATTTATTTATTTGACAGAGGGAGAGAGATCACAAGTAGGCAGAGAGGCAGGCAGAGGGAGAAATGGGCTCCCTGCCGAGCAGAAAGCCCAATGCAGGGCTTGATCCCAGGACCCTGAGACCGTGACCTGAGCCGAAGGCAGAGGCTTAACCCACTGAGCCACCCAGGCACCCCCCAAAAGTTTAATTTTTAAATAAATAGATTAGCATGGTTTAAAATTGGAAAATTTGAAGGGGTTTGCAATAAAAGGCCTTCCCATTTTCATCTCCCAGGCGTTCAGTTAGTATTACCATTTGTGATAATATAAGCATTTTCTTTGTGGTTTGCTAAGAATATACTTGTTGGTTAGCAGTATTTCAAGTCTAGAAATGTAGGATGGAGTTAATAGATTTAAGCAAATAAAAATTGAAAAAAAATGGGACAGAGGAAAGATAATAATGGTAAACCTTGTGGCAAATGAGCAAAATAGGCAAGTCCTCGATATTAGGAAGGTACGGTAGAGAGCAGGGAGAACCAAAGGTCTGGGGGAAATATTGCAGTTTTAGGTCTCCTGTTTGCTTCAGAGGCCTAAAGCAGTAGAAACATTAGTAAAGAAACACTGGTTCTTGGTAGAACCAACCAGTATATAGTGTAATTTTGTTTACCAGGGAATTTGATTAAAAGGGTTGGTGTGCAGCTAATTTTTTATCTTCTTAGCATAATAAAGTTGTTTTGAAATGTATAAAATCTGAGCATTTTGTATCATAATACAGAAGGATAAAATTGTATTTGTTATAGTTCATTTGGTAAATTTCTCATTTGGGGATCAAACTGTAAGGTATCAGGAGACATTTGCACACAGTGGAGACAATAGTCCAAATTACAAGGTATCAAGATACAAAGACACAGTTCTGTTGCCTGTAGTATTTACTTGGTTGGGATCTATAGCAGATAACAAACTAGGAAAGTAGGAGGATTTTATTCATAATAATAAAAAATCATGTTGTGCAAGTAAGCAATAAAAAGTCAGGTTTTCCAAATAGTCTTCATTTACATATCTCATCCTGCTATTCCTATAACCACACTTGTATTTTTCAACTGTGTATGTCATAATTTTTAGTTAAATATATTTAGTTGCCCGGAAAAGTTTGATAACCTTGATGTCTTTAAATTGGTACTCAACTTTTTTCATAAAACACCAGTAACTTTTCTGCCTTAATTGGTCCAATAGCAAATGTAATCTTCCTTTGAGTTGTTTTGATGATTCACCATTTTATTTATGTTAGTCTGCTGTGTATTCTTAGAAAATACGGTCTTTGCATATTTTGCTTTTAAAGGTTTTTTAAAGTGTGTAGATGTGTGTAACTCCAACAGGTACTTTTAATGCATTTACTGTTTTTTTTAACGATTTATTTATTTTGAGAGAGAGAACACTTGAGGGCTGTGAAGGGAGGGGCAAAGGGAGAGGGAGAGAGAGAATCCCAAGCAGACTCCATGCTGAGCATGGAGCCTGACATGGGGCTTGATCTCACTCATGACCCTGAGATAAGGACCTGAGCCTGAAACCAAGAGTTGGATGCTTAAATGACTGTGTCATCCAGGAGCCCTGTGCATTTACTATTTTTAATTTAGTTAATGAGCTAAAATACTAATACAGGTTCTTTTCTGACAAAGTACTTGCTTTTAAGTCTGGACTGTGCTTAAGTGGAAGTCAGTATTGTCTGTTGAATGTTGATTATTGGATTATTTTATAAATACTTTCTAAGTGTTTTAACAATTAGCTAAGATTCTTTTTTTTCCTTCCCTAGTGGACTCCAGAAGGAAGACGATTGGTCACTGGCGCTTCTAGTGGAGAATTCACCTTGTGGAATGGACTCACCTTCAATTTTGAAACAATATTACAGGTAACAGTAATCATCAGAGGGTAGCATCCTCCTGTGGTACTATAAAGAACTAGAGAGATACAGTTACTTTATTGGCATCTTAAACTTAAAATTGGACAAATCATTCTTGTGAGTTAATATATGCTCCTGTCAAGCCTTCTGTCATATATTCTTTTACATAATGTTTACAAATGTTTTAATGTTTTCACAGGCTCATGATAGCCCCGTGAGGGCCATGACTTGGTCACATAATGACATGTGGATGTTGACAGCAGACCATGGAGGATATGTGAAATATTGGCAGTCGAACATGAACAACGTCAAGATGTTCCAGGCACATAAGGAGGCGATTAGAGAGGCCAGGTTTATACACAATATACCATTTTCTGTAGTCCCTATTGTCATGGTTAAATTATTCTCTAAGTGTATTCTGGGTGCAGAGATGCATGGGCTCTGTCAGATTCTGGGATACTTTCTGCACCCTATAAACACAATATTTTTCTTTGTTTTCACACACTCACCATTTCGCTGGCACTTTTCTGAAGTAGTGTTGTCCCGGTATCAGCCTTTGCAATATGTTAGAGATGTATTGTCTGCCGCATTTTGCACTGGTTTTCTCTTTCATTTTTGGTTAATAATGTGTATACGTTATTCCTTTTTACTACCTACTGTGTAAGACAAGAATCTTTCATTCCAAATAAAGAATTCAGTCTTTAATTATACAACTGAATAAAATCTAAAGCCTGCAGAAAACACCTTCAGAGTTCACACAAAATACAAGAAAAAAAGGCTTAAGTGAAGACCTGGTTGGCTTGGTTATGCCACGACTTCGAAAGGAAAGTATAGTAGGACTAAAAGCTCACAAGTAACTCTGGATGTGGCAAACATTAATGGAATAATGAATGGGTTCTTCAAGCTTTGAAACTGTAAGCAAACCACTGTCAAGAAGACTCTAGGACTTCTGATTCACTGTTGAGAACATCAGTTATGCAAATGTATAATAAGTGGAGTTTAAAATATTTTCAGTGAGTTGTATATTTTTACATATCAGTGAGATATGTATAGTAAAACTGGAAAAAAAAATCTTGAAAGCAAGCCTGAAGAATTGCTGCAGCCTCAGAATAAAGCTAAGCAGCATTCTTTACGGGTGTACCGCCCATGCGTGGAAGGAGGTTGACATCTTTATAGAAACATCATCCACCGCAGTCACTTGTTTCTACTTCCAGAATCTTAACAAAAATTGTTGGATAAACATGCTTCTGCAAAAACAGTGCTTTAGTGTCCTGCCCGTACATTGAGTTTCATAGTTGGTTCTTTGTTAGTTACAGGACTCCAAAGTTCAAGAGAGTTCTTAGAGATAGATGAGAAACTTGATGGTTTTTCATGACAGGGAGGGAAAGATGGCAAAAATCCTTTGCAGTAGATTATCTCTGGCTTCAAACACAGTCTGAATGTCTCTGTGTTCAAGTTTTCCCAAAAAGGTGCAACATCCATGGAGTAGCTTGTCAGGGAGAATGTGTGAGAGTTTCCCACAGACCATTCAAATAAATGAAAAACATTGTATGTAGGGTGTTTAGCAACTAGTCTTAAGTAGCTTGTCCAGAATTTTTTAGCTTATCATTTCATGAAGCATCTGAGGTAGAAGCTGATGCTCATTTTTTGAGTGGTATTCCTATGTGATTTAAAAGTGTTTAAGGAGTATTGCAAAACTACAATTCATTTAGTTTCTACACTAGTTCCACGTTTTCTGTTGGTAAGACAGGAAATACTGTACTGTGGGGAGTGTGGGAAGCATTAGTACTAATAATACATTTGTAAAGTTTTGGACTATTGTTGATTGAAAACTAAGAAGCAACTACTCTGTTGAATTCTTCTTTTGATGAGATGCATTTGTTAGCTGACAACGTTCTCTTTAAGGGCTTCTTCACTGTTGGAATACTTCCCTCTCCTGTTTATAACGCAGCACAGTGTTTTTATTTTTCCCTGTCTGAGAAGCACAGATAATCTGTTAAATGCTGACTTCTTTCCCCTGCTGTGTGTCTTCATGTAACAGTTTCTCACCCACGGATAATAAATTTGCTACATGCTCTGATGACGGCACTGTTAGAATCTGGGACTTTCTTCGTTGCCATGAGGAAAGAATTCTCCGAGGTACGTGTACTAACAGTACTGATTGGAATATTTAAATAGGGAAGGCATTTGTGGTTAAATCATCACAATACCACAATACCAGCTTACATCTCCATTCAGTTTTTTTACATATACACTGTCTCAGTCAGGCTCTTTAAAAAAAACCTGAACACTTCTGGTTCACAATCATTTTGTAGATTTTTACTACTACTGCTATCTTTGAGTTAGGTTATAAATTACATAAAAGTATTCCTCTTCTCTTATCCTGCCACCCCTGCAAATTACTTGCTTACCTGTACTGATCCATTAGGGCCATATTCTTTTCCTGTCTTATAGCCAGCATAGCTTTCTCCAACATAGTGGCACTATAATTTTATTTAGATAGCTCACATTCTCCCGGCAGTCCTTTTACAATATGGTTAACTGAGGTAGCAATAACTACACTTCTCATTATTGCTGTTTCTGAAAGCAGGTGTTGTGTTTTTGTTTTTGTTTTTTAAACAGTATACCACATTTGTGTACTACATGGCCCACTAGTTACTAAATTTTTTCTTGTTTGCTTTTATCAATTTCATAATTATAAACTAATGTCTATCAGTTACTCCCTCCTACAAAAAAATCCGTATTTTTTACTTGGATTAACTTAGTTTCAGACTTCATTAAGTGGAGCTGTTGAAAAACTAACAGTTTATCTCTACCGTTTATGTAAAGTCAGTGGGTGCTAGAGTTAGGGAATTACCTCTGTTTATATATGTAATACAAACATTGAAACAGACATTTACATTAATAAAAACATTTAATCTCATTAGTTCATTGTTAACTAGGAAGGTAGTGTTCTCAACTGCTTAATTTGAACTTGTACTGATTTAACAAAGAGTATATTCTACTCCATACTCTTGATTCCAGTATCCCATAAGAGTAACATCTTCCTCTCATATAAATGCTGGGTAGGCACATGGGTGCCACAGACACTGGGTGTCAAGTAATTACTATTCAGAGATTTCCCTTTCTATTCAAGAGAGTTGGTTGAATTTTTACAACATTCCAGAGCTTAATTTACAGCCTGTAGTAGTGTTGATGCTTTCTAGATAAGAAAGTAAATGCCCTTAATGTTTAACCCATATTTCAAGCCAGTTTTTTTTTTTTCCTTTTAATTCATGTTTGTTCACATGTTTCTGGCTTTGCACGTTTTGTGTGGGTTCATCCACAGTGCTTTATGATGTTAGCTAGCATAAGGATATAGTACCTGTCATTGAAGGAGTGTACTATGAACATTATAATATTATACAATTCAGAACTAGATGGAGTCTTTAGAATCATTTAGCTGGAATTACTTTATGGATGAGCATCATGACCCAGCGGACTTAAGTGACATGTTCAAGGTAAATAAGTTCAGATCTAGGACTTAGAATCTAGCCTAATGGTATGCTAATATTGCAGCTTTTCTCACTCTCAATGGAAGTCTTAGCTGTTAAGCAGAGATAAGATGGATAACTTTTTCTAGGTTTTGAAAATCCCAAGAAATATAGAGGAAACACAATAATTGTAGTTACTAAAAGCAATTCTAAAGTATCAAGACAATTATTTTTATAGTGGACTATAATAATTATGAAGTCTTATATAAAACTACTATGCATCTTGGATTAAATAAAAGAAAACCTGTTATGTGGTAACATTTTTCACTTCCATGTTCCAGTGAAATATTATTCAATTTTGGTAATGAAACTGTTTCTAGGTAGTACTTAAGAACTTTTCCTCTGAAATTTATGGTAATGAAACTGTTTCTAGGTAGTACTTAAGAACTTTTCCTCTGAAATTTAGAGTCTGTGTGTGATACTCTAGCAGTTAAATATTTTCAGATTTGAGTTGAGGCAAATTTGGATAAGATGAAATGGTTGCTAAAGTATTATTTGTTATTCCTTTGGCTTAAAAAAATAAACCAGCATCCTGCCTATGTTATTCAATAGCTGAATTTTATTTTTTATGTGGGGGGCTCTTTTTATTTTAATTTTTGCTATGGAATTTTCAAACATGTACAAAAGTATAATGAATCTCCATGTACTTCTAGGATGCATGTTATAGCTTAGCTTATGATTTTTGCTCCCTTTTTTCTTAGTACCTCAATGGGTATCTGGGACCAATATGAATATATAAGCCAAGTTAGTTATACCACCCAAATAGTAGTTCTAATAGGAAGTCTAGTATAGTAGATGAGTTATTAGATTCCAGTTATCCATTTTCTGTCATTCCTCATTTTTCTAAATTCTCTGAATTTTAGTGGTGATTATAAAACAGTGAAATGGTTGAAATTTTCCTTTCCTTCACTTGTGGATTCCAGTTGTCTCAAGCCTGATCTAAAATTCCTCACATAAAATTTCAAGTAAATTTAGTTGAGCTTTATACATAGAAAATTGGATCACAAAGTCAAACAGGTAAGGATAGGGGCTTCCACTATCTAAAATGTCAGTTGGTCTCTATAAAGGGATGATGTTCAGCTAGCTTACATAGACTTAAACATTGGACAGTTAACCATAGTCTTGCATAATGTTAGTGTTGTACATCAGACCAAAACTTGGGTTTAAGTATTTTTTAAAAGATTATTTATTTATGAGAGAGAGAGAGAGAGAACAAGCAGGGGAAGCAGGAAGGGGAGAGGGAGAAGCAGGCTCCCCTTGATCAAGGAGCCCTACGAGAGGCTTGATCCCAGGAGCCTGGGATCATGACCTGAGCTGAATGCAGACACTTAACCCACTGAGCCACCCAGGCACCCCATCTTGAGTTTAAGTATTAAAATCTAAGAACATTTTATTTTATTTTAATTTTTAAAAAAGATTTTATTCATTTGACAGAGACACAGTGAGAGAGGGAACACAAGCAGGGGGAGTGGGAGAGGGAAAAGCAGACTTCCCTCTGAGCAGGGAGCCTGATGCAGGGCTTGATCCTAGGACCCTTGGGATCATGACTCAAGCCGAAGGCAGGAGCTTAACGACTGAGCCACACAGGAGCCTGAGGAAAATCTAAGAACATTTTAAATGAAGGTGATGTTTATGATCATGTAGTTTAGCTCTTTTATCAAATACTTACCTTTTCTATGTCATTCCTAAAACCCAGTCATCTATTCATAAACATTTTTAGTGTTACAGTATTCACTACCTTAAGTGATTCTTTTTCCAATTTTTAGATAGCTTTAATTTTTAGAAAGTTCTTTCATTATGTCAGAGATCTGCTTCTGTATGACTTTTCCTACCTCAGGAACACAAAAAAATTGAGTTTATTCTTTCTTCATGGCAGCCCTTTAAGTGTTTGAAGATAACTATCATGTCTTCTTTTTTTAGTACGTTTAGTATGCTGAAGCGAGCACTCTGTCATGTCTTCTTAATGTAGACCATCAGCTGTAAGCATACAGGATCCTTGTGCATGGTGGAAGCCATAATACCATACTGTTGACTGCAGAATTTATAGTTGCTTTTTAGCGTCCTTTCTGAGATTGTTTGCGTGCTTTTTGGAAAAGGAAGAAGTTACACAAGAGAAAGTCATCAGTATTTTTTAAGGTTCAAATGAGTACAGATTTATTTTTTAGGAGATTTGCTACTCAAAAGATCTTGATTGGTCCACAGGTATGAAATTGAATATACTGAAAAATTGAGAAGTATTGTGTGCCACTCATTACTAAAACATATGCAGGTCAGCATAATTTATACACAGTTATCCTTTTTTCCCATTATTACTTAGAGCACTTAATTTGTGGGCTGGGAGTGGAAGAACATTTAAGAACCAGAAGTACATGAATCTGAGTGAGCTTCTAATGTATCGATATTTATTGCATTTGACTCTCAGTGAAATGGAGGCATTAAAATCCATTTATTTAATTAATGACCATATGCTATATGTATGCTACCATTAGTAGAAGAATCTTTTTAAGGTACGACACCTTCCCTCATGCTTCTTAAAGTTTAGTAGGGAAGTTATTTTCACACACTGAAGATGGTGGAGAATATGGGAGAAGAGTCTTGATAGTGTTAGAAAGATAGTTTTATCTATATAGAGTTAGAAGCAGATCACTTAAGACTAGCTGAAATGTACATGAGAAAGGTTGAAAACAGAATCAATAAGAAAACTGAAGTAAACTTTAGTGAGAAGCATAATACTCTTCAAAAGAACCCAGTTTACAAAGTTTCAGCATGCTTTCATTTTGTTTTACCTTCTTGGTTTTAACAATAGCTGATAGCTTACACTTGTATATATCAGGCATATTCTAAGAACTTTTTTTTTTTTTTTTTCTTTTACGAGAGAGCATGAGCCAGGGTGGGAGGGTCAGAGGAGGGGTAGAGGAGGAAGCAGAGAGAGAATCTTTTATTTATTTATTTGACAGATTGAGAGCATAAGTAGGTAGAGCAGCAGACAGAGGGAGAGGGAGAAGCAAGGTCTCTGCTGAGCAGGGAGCCCGATGTGGTACTCGATCCCAGGACCCTGAGATCATGACCTGAGCTGAAGGCAGCCTCTTCTTTCTTTCTTTCTTTTTTTTTTTTTTTTTTTAAGATTATATTTATTTATTTGACAGAGATCACAAGTAGCCAGAGAGGCAGGCAGAGAGAGGGGAAGGGAAGCAGGCTCCCTGCTGAGCAGAGAGCCCGATGTGGGGCTCGATCCCAGGACCCTGGGATCATGACCTGAGCCGAAGGCAGAGGCTTTAACCCACTGAGCCACCCAGGCACCCCTGAAGGCAGCCTCTTAACTGACTGAGCCACCCAGGCGCCCCTCAGGGAGAGAATCTTAAGCATGGAACCCAGCGTGGGGCTCTGTCTCATGACCCTGAGATCATGACCTGAGTGGAAATAGAGTCGGATGCTTACCCAGCGGAGACACCCAGGCAGCCCTGTTGTGATAACTTCATTTAATCTTCCTGGTAACCCTATGCTAAATACTGTTTGTTTGACATTTTACAAATGGGTAACCAAGATACAAAAAGTTAAGTAAACTTGCCTTAAGGTCAGGTAGCTTGTAAGAGGTGGGGCTGGGAT